TGCTCCAGAGGTGGAGTCTTCGGGAAGACACCCAGCATGCGATGACATCACTGTCAGATGTGAGTACATATATGTCGCAGTACTGTTTTCTAGTACAGTACGTATGGATAAGTATAACTTTCATAAACAAGAGCCCTTCAGGGTCCTCAATAACTTTTAGGAATATGTAAGAGCCAGGTGTGGTGGCACAAGTCTTTATTCCCAGCACACAGGAGACAGAAGCACATGTCCCAGACCAGCCAAGGCTGTAGGGACACCCTATCTCAAAAAAGGAAATGAGTATAAATGGGTTTAGACTAAAGAACTCAAAACTATTTTTGTTGGATGACACTCAGAGCCCGGCCAGCATCTTTGGGCACCTCCCTCCACCCCATCCCTAGACTTTCATCTGATGGAGGAAAACTGACTTGGAACAGAGCTGAAAATCCTAGAACACCTTCCAGCCTTTCTCAAAACACTCTGCCCATCAGCCTGCCTGGAAATCCTTTACAAAGTGCTTTACTAAGTTCACGATCTTACTGGAATCTCAGCACGTAGGAGCGACTCCTTTGCTGTACAGATAAGGCAACTCGGGCTCAGCAGGATTAAGCCACCTGCGCAGTGTGATTTGCATCTGTCTACCTTAAAACAAGGGCTGTGCCAAGGACAGGAGGCAGACCTGAAGGTCCAGACTACCCAGCAACGAGCAGCTCACCAAACCACAGTGTGATAAAGAAACATGAAAAGTACTTACGCAACTTCCAGGCAGTCTTGGTGACCACAGGGGTGGCCATGCTTCAGAGGGCGGCACCTGAGACCCCACCCACAAAATGGATTGTGCTTTCCCTGTGGGGTGGGGGTGGATCCCCCCCAGATCCGACAATCAAGTTGGCAGGGAGTTCCCACACATCCAGGCAGAGAGACCTCCTCTCCTGGCCCAGAACTGCCTTGTAGTTTAGATCATCCACCACCAAGCAGCAGCCTGTACACATAGGTCAGGATCCCAGGTCATGGAACGTCAGGCTTGGGTCATCTCAGCTCAACACTGGGCTAGAATACAAGCAGAGGTGATGGAGTGTTAGCAAGTACTTGAGATGAGTTGCAGCTCCCTGGGTCACCAAGGCCACTTGATACAGACCCACCAAAGCCCCCAGGGCCTGGAGCTGCAGTGCACACTGGGCCGGAAAACCTGACCAGGAACACCTCTGTGTCTTGGAACCCAAAGACCTTAGAGACAAAAGACCTTCCCTAAGTAGCTGGTGGTGCCAGACTTTAACCCCGGCACTCAGGAGCACAGGCAGAGGCAGGCGGATCTTCGTCAGTCCGAAAGAAAGACTGACTGACTTCCCAGCAGCCTAAAGCAGTGCTCCAGGATGCTGGCTGTCTTAAGACAGTGGGGAGGAGAGGCCCACGTGTCTGCAGTTCACACAGATTTGCACCTCATGTGCTGGATGGGGCACTGGAGTCTGAGGCTCTGTTTAGAGGCCCACGAGAGGCACCCGAAAGGCAGACAGACAGACACACACACACACACACACACAGAGGGAGAGTGTGAAAGTGTGAGAACGAAGAGACTGACAGTGAAGGCCTTCGGGGAGGAGTGATTCTCAAGAGGACTCTGAGGGTCCGATCCTCTAGCTCCCTCCTTCCCCAGCTCCTGGTAAGGGGACCACGCCCACCTCTTGTTAGTCTCAAGGACACAGCCGGGAATTGGGTCTCCAGTCCAGGCGTGAGTCGGAATGACTCCTCAATTCTAAGAGGCCACAGCATGGACGGAGCCTTCCACAGCCACGGCTCTTCCACTCTCACCACATCGCTTCCTCCTGTCACCCGTGCTCCTCATTCCGGCACACCCTGAGCTCCCTAAGTTGGCCACGCTTCGCCGGACCCTCTTCACTCCCCTTTCCCTGCTGCTATCGGAGTCCCCCATTCATTCGCTCCCCTGTTCCTGGAGCCCCAGCTCAATACGGTCCTCCGCACATCCTCTGCTCTGCTTCCGGCCCACTAGCTTTCCCTCTCCGGCCTCCGCACCCGTCCCGCTCGCTCATCCAAATCTGCTACTGGTCTCAGCCTCGCCTGACCCTCCGCCCCTCTGTCTTGAGGGGCACCGGCTCCAGCCTTCCCTGGCCCAGAGCCCTCCGCCGGCGACGCGACTGTCCCCTCCAGGCTCGGCAAAGACCGGGGCCAACTTCCCCTTGCCTCCAGGACCCCGAGGGCCACTCTACCTGCAGCTGTAGCTCGGGAGGCCAAGGCTTCCCTCCAGGCGCGACCCCCACTTGCCTCCATCCTCTGTCCTGATTGGTCGCTGCTTGACAACCGACCCTCACAACAAAACCTCCGGTCTAGAGTCCCACCCACTTCACTTCTTGCACCAATCAGCCGCCTCGGACGCTCCGCCTTCCTCTGAGATTGACCAATAGAAGCAAGCGCTTCTGCCGATTTGCGTAACTACCTGCCTCCTTTTCCCGACTCGGACTAATCACGAGAAAGAAGCGTTTACGGGCCTCCCTGCGGTCTTGAAAGAACCAATGTGGGTGTCTGTATCCTTAGTCCCGCCCCAACTCGGGCTAGCTTTTTCCGCCCTTTTCCTTCACTTCCTGGAACCTGGTTAGATTTGAAAAATCCGCGAGCCGCACACGAGGGCGGCTGCACCAATCACTTCGGCAACAGCCCTAGCTCCACCAATCAACGTCAGTATTACTGGAGAACCAATTCCAAGACATCCAATGGGAAGGGAACTTCTGGAGCAGCGTGAAGTCGCACATCTTCCATCTTTGAACAGGGCCGCCTGGACCCCGCCCTCAGCCTGTGGGTGTTGCCCGCGTGGTCTGATTTGGGTTCTGCTTGAATCCACCTACTGGCTTGAGTTCTCTGATGGAGGCCTCAAGAGAAACAGACCCTGATTACAGGTGGAGTCGGTGGAGAACCCAGGAGTGCGTCCCTAGAGTCACGGTGGGAGATGGATGAGTAAGCTTGTGGCTGCTCGCGGGCGGAAACCACCTCACTGGGGAACCGGAGAAAGGCAGATGATGTGTGACGCGTCAGGCAGGTTGAGAGCAGGAGTGGGTAAGGCTATATAACCCACCATGAGGGTGTGCCCCTCACTGAGGAGGAACTCGGTCCCTGCCCATTGCAGTAAGATCCTCCAGCCTTGGTCTTTCCTTCACTCGCTCGCCTCTCATCAGGCCGCAGCATCTGGTGTTCTGCTCCACACAGCCCTAAGCCGTAGGATTTCCCCATTTATGGATGAGGAAACCGAAGCTGTGGTGAAAAGACCGAACTTCTGGAAGATGGCCCCAGGATTTGAACCTTTAAAGTCAAGGCGTGCCAAGTCTCTACTAAATGCGAAACTTCTGCAGGGACAAAAGACATCCATCAGCCGTCAGTACTCTGGGAAGTCGGCCCTGAGTAGAATTTGGGGATTACTAAGAGACCTGGATTCGGAGAATAACGTTCAATCAAAACTTTGTAGCTTGCTGTTCTTCTCAACTTTTTATTATTAGAAACAAAAGTCAAAGTCTTGATTTTGACACGTTTTGCCTAGTTCACCTTGTCTGTGTACAAGTATTCGAACATTACCGATCCCAAGACATTTCAGTCAGGACAACACTGAGCATGGGGCTCTTTAAGGGTCCTTAGTCACATGACCAATATCACCACCCCTAAAATAACTTCATCCTCTAACATGTAGACTATATTAAAATGACCTTGATCATCCCCAATACACACAATAACTTCTAAGTAGGAACAAGACTGAGAATGTAGCTCGGGTGGCAGAGAGCTTTGACTAGTATGGAGGAGGCACCAGGTTCAACCACAGCACTGAAAATCAAAACTTACTAGAAACAAGAGAAATAGGTCAGTCTTAGGAGCGATTGCAATGCCAAGAATGAGGGCCTGAGTTCAAATCCTCAGCACCCACATAAAAATCTGGCATGGCTGCATGTGTAACCCAGTACGGAGGATTGCTAGGGACTGCTGAGGAGGAACCTGACTCATCATCATCCTGACTCAAAGGAATTAGGCAAAGAATGACATGGCAGGATGCATGGTGATAGTGTAGGGGATGGACAGACAGACAGACAGACACACACACACACACACACACACACACACACACACACACACACACACACACAGGCTTGGGGGGCGGGGGCAGGGAACGTATCTTAACTAAGAACCAGGCAAGATTTGGCTTACTTGCCTCTTTCAAGTTCATCCTATTTCTGTCCGAATCTCTCTCCTCTCTCTGGATCAGGCTCTCACTATGTAGACCAGGCTGGCCTTGAACTGGGATTAAGGGCATGTGCCACCACATGTAGCTTGAGCCTCTGGTTTTAACCATGGGTTTGGAATTATGCACTGAAATCTGGTGGGCTCACCTTTGAGTGAAGACAGTGACTACCCCTCCACCAGAATTCATCAGTAACCAGTAGTTCAACAGGGAGGAACGGCCCCCATGCCTGCCCTGAGCCATGATTGTTTATTGACCGGCCCAGGCTTGTGCAGGCAACCACAGCTGCTGTGAGATCATTTGCAATGTCTGTGTCATGCCCTGGAGATTATAGGCCAGGTCTTCTCTACTTTGTTTTTGCTTTTTAAGACAGAGTCTCATGTAGCCCAGGCTGTCCTCAAATTCCCTACATAGTCAAGGGAGACCTTGAGCCCAGATCCTTCTGCCTCCAACTCCTGCTGGGATTACAGGCATGCACTGCTAGACCCAGCTTTCTCTCCTCTTTAACACTTATTTCAGCAAACAATGCCAGCCCCGTTTCACAGGTGGTAAAGGGAAGAGGAACTTGGATTCAGTCCCTTGTCCTCTAACATCAAGCCAACCGGTCCTGGGTTGTGCTCCTTGGCCAGGCCATTCCCATTTTATGAGCTGGCCCACCATCACCACATTGAGCTCTAAGCAGATGGCTGTGGAACCGTCTGGAGACGTGTAAACACTTGATAGTCCAGCAGAGAAGATGGCAGGGAAAGACTGAGGGTGGAGGGGACTGGAGTTGTGAGTACTGGAGTATAAGTGGTAAATAGGAAGTGTGTTTATTTGAGGGAGACTATGAGGGACAGGGAGGTGGTGTGGCAGTGAGGCTGGTAGGGGATTACGGTGGCTGGGGAGAAGGGAGGGACTCCATTCTCCCGCAGCTTCTGCCATGGTCCCGTGAGGGGCATCAAACAAAGCCTTTCACGAAGTCTACCAAGCGTGGGTCCTTGTAGAGCTTTTCCTCCAGCGCCAGGTACTTCAGCGGAGCCAGCTCTTTGTGCCTGAGCAGAGGGAGGAAGGAGAAGGTGAGGGATGTCCGAACTCTCAGAGCGCTCCCAGGAGTCCTCCTGGCTCTGCCCCTTACCGATTGAGTCGCTGTTCCAAGATGCGGATACGGAACATGGCCTGAGAACAGTAGCTCAGGTATAGGTCTTCGTCCTCAGACGTCAGGGTCACCTGGTTCTCCTGGTACCACTGCTGCTTCTTCTGCAGTTCCTGAGTCTCCTGGGGGCGTAGGGAGATGAGCAGGGGAAGGTGTGAACTGATCCTCAGCCAGGGTGTAGGCCCATAGATTACCAGGCAGCCCCAAGAGGATTACACGCCCCCATCCGCACCTCCCAAGGAGAGGGGCAGAGTTAGAGGATCACAAAACATCTTGGGTGGGGACTACTGGAGCCATGATTCGAAGGACAGCATGTGGCATAAACTCAGAACAGGAACAAAGCAGTTAGTCAGGGCTAGGTCTGTGGCTTAGTGTGTGGCCCTGGGTTCCACCCCTAGCACCTCATATACAAAGTCAAAACATCTGGGTGTGGTGGTGCACATCCCAGTACTCATTAGGCAGAGGCAGAGGGATCACTGTGAATTTAAGGCCTGTCTGGTCTCCACATCAAGTTCTAGACCAGTGGGGGCTACAGAGTGAGACACTGTCTCTAAAAAACAAAACAAGGACACTGACTGCTCTCCAGAGGACTGGGGTTCGATTTCCAAAGCTCACATGGAGGCTCACAATCATCTGAAACTCCAGTCCCAGGGGATTGATGCCCCATTCTGGCTTCTGAGGGCACAGGTGTGCACATGGTGCACATACACATGTGCAGACAAAACACCCATACACACAAAATAGCTACACGATCTAGACAAGTTACTGACATGCTCAGAGCCCCCAAAAGCTCATCTCCGAAAGTTAGAATTATTGTGTCCAGTTCCACCCAACTCTGCTCTGTGCACTCTGTGAAAACCAAGGTACTGCATGGAGACCGAATGGTACACACCTCACCTATCTCACATAAATGGGCCAAGGACTAGGAGCTGTTAGAATGTTCCACCCATCCGTCCATATATCCAGAAATGCACCCATCCATTCCTTTATCCCTTGTCTGCCAAATCTTATCTACCCATCTGCCTACTCATTCATCAATCCATCCACCTACTCATCATCCATCCATCCATCCATCCATCCATCCATCCATCCCTATCCCACCTCTAATCCTTACCCACATCCATCTACCCACATATCCAACTGCACCCACCCATCCACTTCATCCATTTACCCATCTACCTGCCTATCCACACATATTCACCTACCATCCATGTATCAACTCATCCATCCAGTAACGAAGTGGGTGTTTGGAAGCCCCAATTACAGACATATTCATCCACCCATCTGTCTCACAGATCTGTGAGGCACTGGGCAAAGACTTCAGGACCCATTTTCTGGCCGAGGACAGTGAGGTCACCTCCCCTGCCTTGGGCCCTGGCCATACCTTCTCAAAGCGCGCCTGGATGAGGTTAGCCTTGTCGATGAGGCGCTGCTTGAAGTCACTGAGACACTCGTCCTTGAGGCGCACAGCCTGCCAGCGTGTTAGCTTCTCGCCCGGAGGGAGCTGTGCCAGGAATGGGGCCAGGTAGTCCAGCTGGGCCTCCACTTGCCGCAGGTGCTCCTCATGCAGGACACGCTCCTGTGGGCCAGGGAACCAGCTGAAAGCAGGATGTCCAGGAGACCTCCCGAGCAGCCGAGTCCATGGTGCAGTAGCACAAATCCAGGTCCCAGATGGGGTTCCTGTGCAACCTAAGTTCCTAAGGATCGCCTCTTGGCCCACATTTAAGGGTGACATGTAGTTCCTGTTTCTGACATGAATTCATCTCTCAGTCTGAGCCTCAGTTTCCTCCTCTGAAAACAGAGCAGCTTAGGTCTGGAAAGCACATAGCCTGGGCCTGACAATCCACAGCAGGTACTTACAGTGAATGGTCGTGGTTAGCCATGATGCTAAACTATCATTTTTCTCTTTTGCCCAGAAAGCCCTACATGGGGCACACAGGAGCCAGAGAAACTGGAGAGATGGGCCATTGTTTCCCTATGGATTCAGGAACAATCCAAAGCCCAGCCTTGGCAGGTCAACTGCAAACTACTTCAGAGACCTGCACTACCTGGGGAAGAGGATGGGAACCCAAACAGGTCCCACCTGGGGGACAGGGTAAAGCCAAAGCCCCGTCCGTGCTGCTGAGGCCTGGTGCTCAACTGTGCCTGAATCAGTTGGCTGGACTCCCAGTTCAGGTCACAGCCTTGGTGGAAGCCCTGGCAGAGGTAGACATGTAGTTTTCATTCTTTCTCCATGCCAGGCAGGCTTTGGTTTGGCCACAGTCCTGGATAAGGGCACTTAGCCTGGATCCTAAGTGCTCTTTGGGGTGACCCATCAACACAGTCAGTGTGGCTGGTAGTAGTCAACAGGAATACTCATATGACATTACCAGTGACATCATCCCTTACAAAGGGCTCCCGTGCTCTCCCGACCTGGAGACTGGGCTCCAGGGAAGGAGACCCGGGGAGAGTGGGGAGGCTCACCATGGCCTCCCGATACTCTTTGCTCTTCTCGTTGCGCTTGGTGTCATAGATGGAGACGGTCAGCGTGTGTGCCTCCTCCTCCTCTTCCCTAAGCTTCAGGATCTCCAGCACCTTGATCGCACGTAATGGAGGATATGCACATCTAAGACCCTTCCCCCTCCCTGCCACATCCACCTTCTGGGAGGACCTTACCTCCAGCTCTGACTCCCAGGCCTGATGTCGGGACAGCTTTTCTTCATTCTTCAGGTGAATCATGGTCTCATACTGGTAGAGAAGTTTCTTGGTGTGCTCCATTGGCTCCACCTGGGACCAGAACCACCACGGTGACAGAGAGGCTGCAACTGGTCAGGTCTAGGGACCACTAGGTTTAAATCTACTACTACCTTTTTCTAGCTGGGGGACCTCAAGCAAGGTGACTAATCTCTCCAGACCTCAGCATCCTTGTCTACAAAGACATAGTTACAAAGAGGGACCACAGGAAGATGCAGAGGGGCTGAGGGCTAGGGGGTGTGCCGGAGAGCGCTAACTAGACTAGGAAGGTGAGACCATCTAGGAAGATAAGAGTACCCTGCCACCTCCAGAATGGGTCCCTGGGATCTGGGGTCTGGGTTCCCCAGAGGTGCAGGCAGGGACCATGAGGACGCCTCAGCTTGCTGGGTTCTCATTAAAAAAAAAAAAAAATCAATATTTTGGGCTTTTCTTTCTTTTTTTAATTAATTAATTAATTAATTATTTTTAATGCTGAATGCTGTTTATTGAAGGAGAGAAGAGGTCTTAAATATAGGCTTACAGCACAATGGGAGAACCCCAGAGGGCAGAAGTTCGCTACCGATGTTTTACAATCTTGCATCTAAGCTGTTAACACCCATTATGCAGGATACACAGACAAGGAACTTCCCTTAAGCATTCAGGAGGGTGGAACCTGGCAGGGGATTAGCATAGGGAGGATATCAAAGTAAAGGTCAACAAGCAAGGCAACAGTTACCCAAAACGAGGGCCAGGACCCTACAGGTCCCCCTTTTACTAAAAAATGAGCTTCTGACTTAGGTTGCATGGGACATCAGCAGGTCACCTTACCCGTCATGGAGATGCCTGCCCAGGCCCCACAGGCGCTCTGTCTTAGGTTGGTGAGCTCCCCCCAGGCATTACCCGTCTCTGAATACTCATTATCATACAGGCTCAATCGTGTGTGAGCTGCAGAGTTAACTGCTGCCAAAGATCTCAAAGTGGCACTGGGCTTGCAATCTGTGTGTTCATTAAATTAATTTTGTTTTTGTTTTTGTTTTGGAGCTGAGGATTGAACCCAGGGCCTTGGCTCTACCACTGAGCTAAATCCCCAACCTGGGTTCTCATTTTGATGGAAATGGGATGATCTTCCAGAGGAGCTGCAAGGGAAATGCCCTCAGATGGAAGCTATACATGTTCCTAGGGACAGAGATGGGCTTCCCAGTGGCCCCTTCACGGGGGAGGAGGGGGAAGTCTACCTGGGGTTTCCCAAGTTGCCAGAAGACGCTGCAGGCACAGTTTCCAGAGTGTGCCCCCACCTCCCCTGCCCCGTGCAGTTGCCAACCCACCTCGAAGCTGATGCACATGTCCGGTGTCATGATGATCTTGTTGCCTTTGCTGTCGACCTCCGTGCGCCGCAGGAACTCACGCTTGGATGAGGTGATGTAGTCATCACGGCAGTGGTAGCGAAGCTGAATGCGCTCCTCCAGGATCAGAAACACACGCTCTGCCACATCCTCATCTGCAGGCTTCGCTGGGTTGCGGAAGAACCGCTCTGTGATTTTCTGTGTGGCCAGAACATGTAGAGGAGGGAGGTGGATTTCTGTGCATGCTCCGTGGGTAGGAGCAAAGGACTGTCAGGATCCAGGAGTCTGGGGGTGGGGGTTGTTAATCAGTCCTTCCTAGCCAGACAATAGGTTCTGTGACTCCCTTAAGTTCTCAAGGCCCAGCCATGTCAGCTTCAGTTCTCTCCACAAGACTCTGCTTGCCGGCTCCTAGAGATGGGGAGTTCTCTCCAGGAAGCCTATCTCATTACCAGATATCCCTCACAATGGAAAGGAGCACCTTTGGCGTGTGGCCAGGAAGCTCAGTGGCCAAGAACTCTGTAGAGAATGGGTTCTCCGATCGCAATAAAATTAAAAAGACTCTCAAGAACAAATTGTGTGTGTGAGCCTTGGTGTGCATACACACACTTGTGTGGTGGCCAGAGATTGACACTGTCTTTCTCAACTGCTCTCCAGCTTGTTTTTTGAGATAGCATTTCTGTCTCAAAGCCTGGACTCACTTGAATTCAGAGCTCACTGGGTTGACTTCACTGGCGGGCCAACAAACCCTGCGTTTGCCTCCCTCGTGCTGGGATTTCAGATGCGTGTCACAGTGCTTGGCTGTTTTTGTGGGCGCTGGAGCTCAAACTGGGGTCCTCATGCTTTACTTAGTGAGCTGTCCTTCAGCCCTGAGTTTGTTGAAATAGGGTCTCATGTGGCTCAGACTGGCCTGGACTCGCTATGTAGTTGAGGGTTGCCTTGAACTCTCGATCCTTCAGCTACCACCTCTCAAGTGCTGGGATTAATTGTCCAACTAAGAACAAACCCAGTCCACAGTAATATTGGAGAGAGGTCATTCTGAGAGGTTGTTACATTTCTCTGGTTTCTCATATTTCCAGATGTCTGGTCATAAGTGTGTATTTGTTCATGACACTAAGGAAACAGTGCTTCTTTGTCTAGTGGCCAGGGACACAGCTTAGCCCTAGCAAGCCAGGGGTCTGCATTTATTAAGGTGCTTCTTTTACATTAAATCACAGGCCTTAATACCATCCCAGAACCAGGGTTTCCCCCATCCTGACGATCCCCTATCTGTCAGAGCAAGTGGGCAGCTAGTGTCCAGCCCAAGCATGCTCTCACCACCATGGGCCTCGGGTTGGACTCTGCGCTGTTCTGGGTGAGCTTCTTGACTCTGGGTCCAAAATTGATGTGGCGATAGGAGAGGAAGTCTGAGCGCCCCTGATAGCACTCTGTCATTGTCAGGGGTGTCTCCTCCCGCTTTATCAGGCCATCCACACGGATCTTTTCATAGAACTCCATGACGCGGTCCATCTCAGGCAGCATAGACTTGTATGAGTGCACTGGATGGGGGGGTGGGAAGGAAGGGGTCGGGTGAGCACCTGGAGCTGTGGCAGCCGGCTCTGCACCCAATCCCAGGCCCAGGGAGAGAGAGAGCAGCTCTTCAGTACACATGAGCATTAGCCGTGTACCCAGTCCTGACTTTCTGGCTATTATGGTTACATCCAATTCTTCATTTTTATAAACAACTCCGTGATGAACATCTACATCATGCACTTATGGTTCTTGCTCTTTTCTGACCGCAAATTCTCAGCAGAGGAATGACTGGGTTAAAAGGTATGCACATGTTATGGCCATTATTGTTGTTAGACATGGAACACAGGACTTCCGAAATGTTAAGCATGTGTCCTACCGCTGAGCTACATCCCCATGTTAACACATTTAGCTCAATTATTCTTAAGAAGAGAGTGGTCTGCCAATATCAACAGGGAGCAACTTTCTGCTGCTTTTAACCCCTGTCACATCCGGTTAGGACCATTTGCTCACAACAAAAGCAGTGGCGTGGTCCCTTGTTGGTTTAATCTTGAAATTTACCACTCCCCAACACAGTTGATGTGTTTCCATGTGTTGGTTGGCCCAGATTTTTCTCTGGTGACGTCTGGGGTAGGATATGAATCTTAGAAGGCGTACCTTCCCAACTCATGGACTCCTAGCCATAGTCTGTATACAGTGGGCCCTCTGCCCTCTGCACTTGCCCTTGTCCGTGGTGTTTAGTTGGCTTTACTGCCCAACATTCTTAGACCCTTTACATGTGACCCATGCCACGTGGCCTCCTGGAGATTCCAGCTTGATCCAAGCCACAGAACAGCATGTGACCCTGGCTTTGACTTTCCTAGAGAGCTGCTGACCACAGCATCTTCCTCTTTTGAGCCTCCGCAGCTGCCTGCACACCTCCTGGTCTCACAGAGGCAGAAGCAGTTGTCTATATCGCCACCCGAGGGCCTCCTGGATACCTGGGGCTGGTTCTTCCCATCACACATCCTTATACGGAAGCTCCCCTCCCCCAGGGCTCTTGGTTTGCCCAGCTGTGGGATCCACACACCACGCAGAGCTTGGGGATGGCCTGGCTTGAAGTAGTCCACCTGCAGGCCTGTGGTCTTGTTTATGTGCTTCAGCTCCAGCATGTCCTCACGGTTCTGGTACCATTCCTTGATCTCCAGAACCTTTGTACCTGCGGGGGCCCAAAGATGGCTGTCGCAGGCAGACCAGCTCCTCTGGCCTCCGCCACACACACACACACACACACACACACACACACACACACACACACACACACACACAAAGGAGACATGATATGCCCAGAGGCACTGAGCACAACATTCGGTCATCCCGCATCCTGTCCCCCAGGGTGCCTTACACTGCAGGTCTTCGTAGGTGGTGAGGCGGCATACCAGGCCGTTGCTGTTGAGGTACGGGGCCCACTTCTCGAGCTGTGCCTTCTTGTACTGTATCACCTTCTTTCCACTGGGGCAACGGGTCTCAAACTCTGTGGATGCAGAGGGGGCTGGGATCTCTCCTTCCACCCTTCCTAGCCACTTCTCCATTTTCTGCATCACCTATAAAG